GGTAGTTTCCGCGTCGTAGACTTCGCACGCATTGAAGGACTGCCTTGGAATCGCAGAAAATGGCCCATCTTCTAGGGGATTCCTGCGTAACAAACTCCACAGCGGCTCGAAGAGCGGTAAGCTCGGATCCCGTAGATGTCATGACGTGTGATGTCTTAAATTTGACGGTGATTGATCGAGATGGTATGACAAAGGCACCTGTCGAACTTCCCGAGACAGAACCATCCGTGTAAACATGAATTCGGTTAGCATACCACAAATGCAAAAGGTTCAGTGAGATCTGCTTGAGGGCTGCAGATGACAGACTTGCCTTTTTAGATATTCTCGGCACTTCAAGGTGCACAGTCGGTCTTTTCACGCACCACTCTGGAGATAGTGGTATGGCTGCGGGCGAGAATCTCCACGAGATGGGATTCCGGTTAGCCGCATCAACTTTGGAAAACGCTGCCTTTGGTCTTTCTAGCGGCAAGCTAGCAAGGTGGTGGTTAGGTGACTCTGGATATGTGACGGATATGTATACGGAGTGTATCGACAGTTATATATGTCAGCATTTTCAGAGGGATAAGGGAATGATTTATAGCTGGCTGCGACTTCATTGTAAATTCTAGCCCACGTGCTGCAATATAATCTTTGACTCGCGTGCATTTCGCTTCTGTTTAACCACGCTCCTTTGAAATGGTTGGGAAATGCGTAGCTCGCAAAAATGCTGAAGGAGGAGGAGGAAGCAACAAAAGGGAGAAGGCAGGGAGGTTAACCAGAAAGACATCCGGTTGGCTACCCTACACTGGGGGATTTGGGAAGGAGACAAGAAAGACGAGAAAGAGGGAAGAGAGGGAAAAGAAAAAAAGGGGGGGAACTGACAGTAATTTCACTGCAGCGTGTAGAGCTCTACCGCATGTCAGAGGCGTTCAAACAAGCCTGTATTTCTCAGGAAACACAGCAGGGCTTTCACTGCCTTGTGGGCTGTCGAGGCATGTGGACGTTGCTGTAACAGCACCTGCACAGAAAGAGGCTGATCATCCAGTCACCGCATTGCGTTGGCAAGTACTTGTCGATCTGAGGCAAATCGAGGACAATGGCACAGGAGGTGTTCGATATTTTTGTCTGTGCCGCAAACATCGCACGCCGCAGTGTCAGTAATTCCGATTAACGTGGTATAAGTTTTTGTGAAAGCAACTTCCAGCCCAAGGCGATAGAGAAGCGAAGCTGCACGTCGATGTAGGCCGGGTGGAGGCCAGAGTTGTACTGAAGGGTCGAGCTCGTGCAGTCTTGTACGTCGTATGCTTGGTGTGTTCCACTCAGTCAGTGTGAGACGGTGGGCCAGTTGACGGATCTGCCTCGCCGCATCCGCTCTTGAAAGCGGAATCGGAACGCTGTTCGCTTTTTATGGGACGTGCGAGCAGCATGATCAGCAGAATCATTGCCGCCTATACCACATTGCCCAGGTAACCACTAAAAGACGATGTCGTCGCCTTTTTGTATTAAAAGGTAGTGAAGTTTCACGGTTTGTTAGGTCAATTGGTCGTGGCATCCACGTCAGAGAACTGATATCAGGCACTGTAACGCTGGTTTTGAGTCAGAAATGCAAATGGGTAGCCAACTGGTGACCCTTGGTCAGGCCCGCTGATCTGTTGTAGCCAGTCGAGACCCAGAAGAGGGGCAACACCCACCATATCCATACAAAGCTAGCCCTGATATGAATGTTTCTTCTGTCTCTTTCTCCTCAAGAGTGAGAGAGACATGACTTTATTGGGTTGAAAAGAAAAAGGTTTAGGAGCTAGATGGGTGGGGCGCTATGTCCAAGGCTCCACTGGCGTGCGCCGCCAGCCAGACGTGGTCGAGGAGTGCTAGTTGCACCTCCGGGGAACCAGGAGGCGCCAAGCAGTGAAGACATGCTCACACTTCTCCTCAAGAGAATACCGGTTAGCGTGGAGAACGGATGAACCGTACTTTACATTGAGTGCTTGCGTTTGTATGTTCGCGTGCATGTGTTAACATGTGAAATTGAAACATTTTGTGGGTGAGAGACGGGGTTGATTCTCCTCCACAACCCCTCTCCCCACAGCTACGCTACGCTAATGTGGCAGTAGTACCTATTCACCTGTTATTTTCCGGTGGCCAGCAGATCTATCGACGCGGACTCAAGTTTCTGCCCGAATAAAGGTTGACATGTCATGATGTTGTGGACTCACGCCCCTTGCACAAAAAGAATGTTTCACGGTAACAAAGATGCTTTAACGCGACGCAGGATGGACTGATGGACTCGTTGAACAAGCACAGACACATAGAACACACTCGTGTCTGGCATTTACTCCGTAATATCTATCGGCATACCTACGATACGACTCACGACACGTTGGTGCGCACGACGTTGTCGTGGTAGGTCAGGGTAGTAGGCAAGACGGAGGCCCAGCACTATAGGGGCTGGGTTGTCACCCAGCACTATGGCAGACCGAGGGCACGGACCGTCCGCACTGGAACACGCCGATGCCAGTTGAATACTTGTACCATGAACACGAGCCTTTGGTGACAGTCAACTGACTTTACCGGGAACACGGGCACGCGTGTCTCGCACAGGCAGTTCAGACTAGTGCCATGGCCAATCGTTTAGCGTGAGTACCGCCCACTGGCACCTTCTTCGTTGCCTCACCAAAATTTACACGTGTAATCGTGAGCGCACTTCTAAAAGGCCATAGTTGGTTGGTTGTTTGGCTGGTTTCTCAACATCTTGGCGCAACTACTCCTGGGGACAGGCCTTGGCAGTCCTATCAAAGTGACACAGCGGTGACAATGTTCTTATCCTTTACTAGAATTCGGTCTGCGTCGATATCTGTGTTGGTCACCAGAAACACAAACAAAACCTGCAGGAACTGAAAAAAAGAAGAAAACGATTGGAAGAACACAGAAAGATAACCAGCTATTTCTGCTTTAAATCACGTCTTACGGTCAAGCCGATAAAGTTTGGCGGTTTCTCTTGCTGTTCTCTTGCTTTTGTTCACCATTGTATACCGAAAGGTGCAAACTAATTATTGGCTGCCATGAGGATAGATGTACTTACGAAAATGAAAAAGTAGGCAGTTTAGTGGGAGAAAATGTATGTTTGACAAGCGTATACTCAAGACAAGGACAGCACAGGCATGAAAGTCAGCCTCTAGAGCCCAGCAGAGCCCAATGAACACTTCAACGTTCAATGCATTGAATCCTGCGTCGATCGTAACAACCACGTACAACTTCATTCGAGATAAACAATAAGTGTTGCAATGTGTGGCAAAATTAGAAAGATACAGCCCTCGACCTGGTCAGCAAGCTAATAGATAAATGAGTGCGACACCAAGGTTGATAGCTCATGTGATTTATCTTCAAAGTGGAATATTACTAAGGGTAGAACATGCTACATAAAATTTTTCTTGATAAAAAGTGAACGGTGGAATACACGATGCGTTTTTAATCGTAAAAACTTAACCCCGGGCTCGATTCAGGACTCTATCGTGAAACCAATTGTAGTGGGTGCTCGTCTATAACATTGTCATTTATAACATTGTATTTATACAAGCGTTAGTGTATGAGCCTCCAGCATGGACAGGGCCATTTAGCGGCTTGAGGAGGCTTTGGCGAAGCCATGGAGAAAAGGAGCTGACGACCCCACTAACGGGTGCGGAGGCACCCGACTAACTGTCGCCTAGTCGGAGCACACCATCCTCGAGGTCTAGGCTCTCAGATTATCGGACTCTAATAGCCGCAATCATAATATAGAGAACATCCGCGCTCTGCGAGGCCGGGGGCTTCCTACACACCGGATGTATAAATAAATGCTATTTATCTCTTTCTCCTGCATGGACGTACAAATCAAGCACCTTTCGAGAAGCTCCCGACATTCTTCACTGCTAAGCCAAATTTTTGGAAGCAAATATCTATGAACACTTACCAGCTAACTTTGCGTAAATAAACGCATAGCATTTTGGAGGTTGTTTTCTAGACTCCATTAAAGCGATACACATCTATGAGTCATGAATATACGATTTACATTTAGTCTTATAACGGTGACTTTTAAGAAACGACTATTTTAAACAATTTGTGTTTTTCTCATTAAAACTGACCACTGGCACAGCTAATCACTTACATATATAGTATAATCGAGAAGTTTAATCATGCAGGTTTTCTTGATAGGCATTAGGATACAAAAGTGTGCCGTTAGTTGACTTACTTTCACGAAGTGGCTTTACGGAGCATACTGACGGAGAGCCCAATATTAATCTGATCGCGTAGAGACGCAAGAGAAAAGAAATGTGATGGGTGGGCATTGAGGGTCCCGGTACGGTTCTTCTGATCTTGGGACCCTCTTCTGCATATCCTTAACGATGTAACCATACTATGCAAAAATAAAGATTGATTGATTGATTGATTGATCACAAGAATCGCTGCCCCAATTTTTTTCGAAGCTCCACTGAGGGACTAAACGTTTATGAAAGAGGGCGAGGAAATAAAAAAAAAGTGATGTAAATTACGCATTAATGGGTTTACATAAATGCAAAGACGGCGATTAGAAGTGATTGTTTTTTTCTGTAGCAAAAATTACAAACATACGTACACAAGTTTCAAAATATGAGCAATTTTACGTTCTCATTCAAAAACAATGCGGGCACGTGGCACCGAATCCAGTCTTTCGCCACGTGTGCAGCCGCATGTTGGCGCAGCCACTTATCTGAAAACACAATCGTCTTATATTTCAGAAAAGAATATGTACTCTATTATTATGCCAGACATTCGCACAGTAGAGCACCAGGTAAAGCATGGCACAAAGAGAAGGGAAAAACCATCGTACGCTGCTAAGTAAGCACTATGCTGCACTTTCGCAAGACGCTGCACCTATAGGCACGACACGTGCAGATTGGGACAAAATGAACATAATTCCTCTACGCTTAATTTTTTTCACATTTGCACAACAATGCATTTCCGTTTATGACAAAAAAAGAACACTACCTCGCGTTTTGTCTTCACCGAGGTATATACAGTCAGCCAAGACTCTCCTTCAGCGCAGTCTTTGAGCGGAAATTATGGCGTTTTGCAGAACTATTGCTCTAGTGAGCGTCATGGTGATGCTGGTTTTTATGTACGTATGTGCAATATTTTATATATTGCTGTAGATAACAACGCTGTTAAGTAGTGTAGCTAACGTGTTGCATATTAGTGTCTGCCAGCAGTGGCTTGTTAGTTTGCACTTAAATTTGTGTACATGAGTGTCCTTGCATTTTGCTCCAATCGAAAAGTATTGAACTCGCGTCCTCGAAATTAGTACCGTAACACCTTGCATTTTAAGCTACCGCTGCGGACGTTGTTGCGTTTATGTATTTATGATGCAGTTTGAGAGCTTTGATGCTATTAAATTCGATTGTGTATGTGTGTGTATGATTTGAAAGGGGCCTTGAATCAACTGTCGATATTTTATAAGGTTCCTTTGAGGTACAGGTGGCTTGCCAGTTCTATGGTTTGATCGCGAACACAACGTGTTCTTTACACTTAAAAATGTGTGGTTACCGCTTCGTAAAGTAAGGACTTCTACAGTGTCAATTTACTATAATGTGTTTATTTATATCTTTATTTATTTTAAATGTACTGCAAATTTATTGTGGGTGCTTTCATGAAACAAAAAAAACACACACAAAATATTTGTCATAGAACTCTGTACGTAAAAAAATATTCAAATGAAATGCATTGAAAGATAAATATTTTTTAAGTCTAAGATGTAGTACTGTCAGCCAAAAGAGACAATTACGAGGAAAATATCCAGCTGTATGGACAAAAAATCTGGAACGTAAAATAAGTTCTGCTGACTCTGTTTAATGTACCACTGTCAATGTATAGGCACATATTTTGTCCAGAAAGTTTGTGATGTTGCAAGAATTCGGCAAAGTGACAAATTCTCTAGGTTGATTCGATAATTTTTCTGCATTAATTATAATTAGGTGTTTGTGTATTTCAGTTAAAATTACATCTCCCGCAAATCATGTTTACACACGTTTGTACTGAATCAAAACAGTTGCGAGGTTTTGCATACAAACGCGCCTTATGTTATACCTCTCGCACAATCTCCGTCATACGGTGCTCTTCGTTGGTTAGGCGGTGCGGCTTCGCACACTGAGAGCCATGAAGAGAAGTAATGCAGCATCACTCTAGCATCGATAGAGAACTATTCCTTGACGGCGTAGTTAAAGAGTAGCGTCCAAGACTGCGCACTGGTGGGCAATATTGGAGGCCATGGTTAAAGCTTTTTGATAGCCCAGTCGGCACCAGTGCACTGAGCATTGAGATCTTGCACCCCTGAATTTTCAAGAGCCACCTCTCCTGCACCGCACAGAGAGGAAAAAAAAGAGTTTGATAGCTTAGTCAATAAATCAACGGGCACCTTTCGTCATGGCACTAGGAGTCAAAGGCTACATTCCCGGTGGATTAACATTTTCTTGATGGTTTTCCTATCTCAGTTGGTAGCCTTCATTTTACAACATCATATACGGGATGGAAATACGTCACCAACGTTTCTTTGAACCTGCCATAAAACACTTTCGTGTTAAAGAACGGCAATGAACGTGCCGATAATGTCGCTTGGAACAGTCATAAAAATAGCTCGAAAAAAGCAAATTCATTATCAAGAACTCGTGGATGTATACCCATCCCCGTCACTTCAGCTTCGGAGTTGAAAAATCAGGATCAGTACGTATGTCCTTTTCGTGCCCAAAACAAGAGCTCGTTGCGAATCCGTTGCTATTACTGTCATTCACGAAAACCTTTGCCTACCAAACTTACATAGCAAGCAGTGCTGCCTGTGATCACTGCAAAAATGAGAAAACAATTGCACACAATTCTCTACTTTTGTCCCCGCTAGAGCTCCCAGAGAGAGCCCCCTCTCAACAATGTTATGACACCACGATGACCAGTCGCTTTCGAATAGTCAAGTTTATAATGCAAGAACATTTCAGAACCTTACAAGAAAGCGAATGAGCATTCGCTACTGAAGCTTTTGAAATACAGCGGCCTCATTGAACGACTAGGATGCATTTGATTGCGTGCGCGCTTGTGTGCGTTAGTGTGCACGTGCTTTTAGAGTTAGGCTCTAATATAGCGCATAATATAGCTCTGGGCGTAAGTGTTGCATCATCAACGATGTACACGGGTCCTAGCTGTGCTCGTTGCATGACACATTACCGCGACAGGTGTTACGTTAGGCTATTCGTCCGTGCACTTCCCCTCTTCTCAAATATTAGAGTGATTACCGGTTGGGAATTATAATAATCATGTTAACTGCATGACGTACAGCAACATAAGCCCATTTACTGCCCAGACCATTCGCTTTCATTCGCATTCGTGCTTTTTACTGGCTCTTTGAATGGAGAGCAAAAATTAAGTGGTATAGCCTACGATATTTGAGCCTCATTCAACGCTGAGGGCAAATCAATATTGGTATCTTTTGTTTGCAAATGTTTAGGTCGCTCCTTTGTTTTGATGCTGCTAGGTCTACTGATGTGCTGCCGAACCGTAAAAGAGGTATGATGTGAACTCAGTAGATGTCGCCTGAACATCAGCCTCAGTGATGCGTTGGCGATGCGAAACACTCTGAATGTATTCATTGTTTTCTGTACTTATAACGAGCTATTCCACTTATAAACAACACAATTTATGAAAGATTCTGACACTTTCTTGGTGCCTGGATCAACATAAACTTCGTCTGACTGTGCCAGGGATTCGTAAAAAGTCGGAGCTCTCGTCGCCAGCTTTAAACCAACTGTCCCTGCTGATGCTGAACAAGGAATAGGCAGACCACACTAAACTCTACACGGATGGATCGACAACTGCTGAGGAATCTGAAGGAGCTGTGAACTTACCAGCAAAAGGAGAAACGTATAATTTCAGAACGTCTCATAGGACTTCATCGACTGCTGTGGAGCTGGCGCCGCTCCGCAGTGCACTTCGGTGCATTAAACAAGTCACCACAAAAATGGGGCATATTCACCGACTTCAAGTCTGCCCTGCAAGGTCTATTGTCAGCTTTGCATCATGGTGCACAAGACCAACTAGTACTGCAAATAAGAGAAACTATCAGCAATGGAAGACAAAGGGCCTGACATTTTGCAGTGGCTTCCAGGCCACTGTGACATTGACGGCGACTAACATGCCGATAAATTTGCCAGGAATCCTCATGGAATTGGCGTGCAGGAAATCATTCCACTATAAAGAAGTGATGCATCATACAAGATCCGCTTGCTCGCACGTGATATAACACATTCAATGTGGAGCATGACCGGTTTTCTGCACACCCACCTACACTGTTTAAATCCGTCATTTCAACTCGGAATTCCATACGGACTATCCAGATCTGAAACAAGCGTTCTCTGCTGCTTTTGGCTTGGAGTGTCATTGACAAACAGTTTTGCTTGCCGGATTGCTATGACTAACAGTGCTACGTGCGATCACTGTGGCAGTGAGGAAACCATTGCCCCCGTTCCTTGTGACTGTCCTCATTGTAGTTCCCAAGGACAACAGCTTTCGGAAACGTTAGCGCGGCTCGACAACCGGCCGCTTTCGAAACAGTCAATTTTGGAGTGCCGGAACGTTCGGTCTTGAAACCAGAAAGCGACGAAAGTGCTTCTGAAGTTTGTGAGGTCAACTGGACTCGCTAAACGACTGTGACATTCCCGTTCTGCAGTGTGTGCGCGTTGTCAATTTTCTTTTCTTTAACCATCTCTTTCCCTCCTTTTTCCCACCTTACTTTTTCATACCCATTTTCTATCATCAGTGAAGGGTAGCAAACAGGAAGTTTTCTTCTGGTTAACATCGCTGCCTTTCACTCAGACTTACTCTCTCTATCACTCTCTCTCTCTCCTAATATCAGTACCCGAAAAATGTACACTTTGCTGTAGTTCAAACGTCCAGTATTTACCAAAAAAAACCAAGCAGTAGCACTAAACGCGTTTGGCACTGTCAAAAGAACAACGCGGTGAAAGCGCTAGTCTGAACACTGTTATATATATATATATATATATATATATATATATATATATATATATATATATATATATATATATATATATATATATATATATATATATATATATATATAAAGCACCTTCCTCTCGTACGCCAGTGAACGCTTTCTGAACAAGGGGGTTCCTAAACATGGAAAAAACGGCGAATTGGCATCCCCGAAAAGGTTTTTGCGTGTTGTATTAAGTGTAGGCAGCATATATCGACAAAATCAGCAAACGGATGCCAAAAGCACAACTAGCGGATGACTCTACGTTGGTGAACAAGTTTTGAAGGGCTTACATGTTTGCTTTTGCCTAAGACGTCCGACAGCTTCCATAGTGCTTCAAGGCTCTTCAGAGATAAGTGTACGAAAAACCTGCATCACGTGACTTCAGTCACGTGACGCTGCTTTTTTTGCCATGGTCACCTCAATTCTTCAGAAGCCTTCGCCACCGAAACAGAAAATAATCAATAATAGAAACAAAAAATACAAAAAACAAAATAATACGAATAATAATAATAAAGAAAAACTTCAGGCCAGCGCGGAACGCACAGCAGAGTGACAGCGTAAAGTAAAAAAGCGGCCTTTCCGGGCCTTTTCTGAACACAATTTAAGTAACTGCTGAAATCGCACTTGCTGGGTACCCACTACGCCATAAATCATATTTTTTGTGTAGTGTGTTAGCATTCACTTTTGTTCCTTCGTCATTATTTGGAGAAGCGTGGTATCCACCACACACTTGCTAGGAATTTAGTGCAATTTTTTATGCAGCGGCTGACGACTATGAAGAATTATGCCTGAAGTGGGTATGCGCCACAGTTAATAGGTAATCAAGAACACGAGTTGGAGCATTTGACGACCCACTCGTTAAGCGATTTGCATTGTGTGACACCTTGTCGTTCTTTTGATGTTCTAAAACGGTTTATTACTCATATTATTGCGATTGATTTCCCAATTGACATGAAGCCTGCCTAAGTTTCGAGAGAACATCGATGCAGCAGTGTGGCTCAGTGCTAGAATACTTGGATATCACACTGTTGACCTGGGTTCGAATCTCACTGTGTCCTTGCTGTTTACCGAGTATTATTTTT